ATCACTTCCACTTCTTTCTTTCATAATTTAAACCAATCAATCTTCACTTAATATCTATAACTTAAGTTCAAAAACTTCCGAGCACACTTAAAGTCTTGAGGATTTAATATCAATAACTAAGGTGTGGAATTTTATGCAATCTTCTACGGGAAGTGGCCCTTAACAACTTGGAAGCTGCAGCTTAATCAGGGCATCAGTGCAAGAAAAAACCCTGGTTGGTTCGGGGCAGAAATTAAAAACACTCATGCATAGATAATACCCGAGTCGTGCGGCGAGGAGTTTACCTTGCTGCCGGGAGCCCAAGTCGATAAGCCAGTTGCGCGAGGGAAAATGTTGTTAGGAGGATGGAAAAAAAAACGCCGTGGAAAAGCTGGAAAGTCTGGCTATATTTACGTAAGCTTAAATCGCACCATGTGGCCATGTGTGTATGAGTGGTGGTGGCAGTGGTAGCACAAGTCCGCCATGTGTTGCAAATTTCTGCAGTTTCTGCCTGGCTGTTCCCAGATCTCGAATAAACTAGGCGGCCACAGTGCGTATGAGTTATGCAGATAACGCTCAGCGCAGCTCGAAAGCGACATCAACTTGGCTGGGCGACCGCAGAAAGTGTTTTACTCAAAGGCATCGTAACTCTTCGTCGACGCTTTCTTTGCCGTCTTTCTCTACTTTCTCTGCCAGAGCTTTCTTTTACACAGAGGGAAAATATTAGGAGGAAGTTGGTGCCTGAAAGAATTCTTAAGAACTCTTTGAATAATTTAGATGCCATGCTCACAGGGGCTAAAACGTAAAAACATTAATATAAATATTTTAAAGAATGGATTTCCTTAAAAAATTATAACATGTCTTAATAGGAAATTACAGGGGATTCTCTCAGAATAATATTCCCAAAAGACAAGAAATATTTCTCAACATACATATTTTCCCTAAGATCTGATTTTATTACCTATTTTTCCATGTGCTCTGTCAACTTACCCGGCAACTTCAATTTCTGTATCTGAGAAAAGCGCTGAATTATTGGCAACTTGGGGAGCGGCGAGCGAAGGCAAAAGAAAAGGGCCCGGAGTCGTGCATTCTGTTTTTTCTTTTGGCCCGACAAAAAAGTTTCCATCTCTGTATTATTTTTGCGAGATCATATTTTTTATCTGCGCTGCCCGCGTAGCTGCTCAAATTTAAATTAAAACTTCGGCACTTTTGCATTTTATCCTTGACTTTATGACTTTGGGTTAACATGGCAATGAAGTGATGCCGTTGCTCAGCTTGGTATTTTCCTCATTTCCCGGGGAAAACAAGGGAAGACAAGGGCGGGATGCGTGTGAAACTTTGTGTCGACATTTTGCGGTTGTAAAGCGTCAAACGCTTAAAACTTAAATAGTTTTTCCTCCTCTTGTTGCTTCGTTTTTTTTTTTCTCTTTTATCATTTTATTTTGGGCGGAATGGAAACGTTTTTGGGTTTTATCGCTCAAGTTTGAGGACTTTGGTTTTGCATTAAAAAAAAGTTTGATTGCACCATTGGCCCACCCCCTAAAAATCCATCATAAATACTCTCGGCGTTTCGCTTAATTTTATTAAAATTTTGCATATTTGTGTAATTTTTTTGCGACAGCCACAGATATTTTTTATGAGGGCAGGACATGGGACGGGAATAGTCGAGTGTTGCCTTATCGTGGTGCTAAAATGCGAAGTGCTTATTTGAATATTTTATAAATTTTTCATTCGCGCCTTATTTCGCAAAATATTTTCGCACACATTCTTTGGACAACTTTGACATTGAAGCGTGCACATGTGTGTGTGGCCAACTTTCAATATATGTGTGTGTGGTGGTGTGTGTGTGCCTTCTCTGCTTGAGTGTGTGTGAGCGACTGTGTGTGGCTATATGCTAAATGTCTGAAACACGTCTGTCTGGTTGCTAAAGGCCAGCACACATTATGCTCCGGTCCTGGCTCCTGCACTTGCCCCAGGACCCTCTTCGCAGAAAAAACCCCTCTACAATATTCCCCCCTTCAGCCACAGAGTAAATTTGCATACACATACACAGGCGTGTGTGTGTGGTTTGGCATTCATTTTCAGTTGAAATTTATGCAATGGCTTAAATAAGCGCAAAAATGCCATTTTACCCACAGCAAGTGACAAAATGTATGTTTCGCTGGGCATAAAAAAATAATTATGCAACGAACATAATACATTTTTTGGAACTCCCGGAGCCATCGTGAAAGATGGAGAAAACGAAGGAGTACACGGGGAAAAATTTGTTTGATTTTTCTATAAAAACTCATTGGGTTTGGTTCTCTTAGATGCTTTTTAAGATATCATAAGGTTGGTAGCAAAAATAAAATAATATATCCTACTCCCAACCACTCTTTAAATGGTCGTAAATACCTTCTAAAAATCTTCTTTTTATCACACTGTAAATGGAGTAGCAGGTGCTTGAGTCATTTTGGGCAAAGTGAAACTTTATGCAATTGGCAAAATGTTTTCAACAGGATTTGCATTTGCCTGAGGCACTCGGATGCCACTCTGGACATTGGACAGTGGATATTTACACATTTGTCATGAGCATGAGTGTGAGCATGAGCACTTCTCAACCAGTGACCACCGACCGCATTTAGTTTCGTTGTTGATTAAGTGCCAGAGTGCAAGTTGAGGCCGGGAAAACTTTGCCTTTCGGTCTTGACCATAGCTGAAACTCTGGGGTTCTTAATAAAAACAAGATGTTCGGTTTTATCTGGCATCATCCTAAAAACAACCTTTCCCTTGGCAGTTGGCGCCCAAACACGCTCGAAGACTCAAAGACAAACATTTGCGAGGGTGGCCAACGTGTCGTATACTTGATTTTATATGCAAAGTACTTGCAGCGTTTTATGTGAGATTCAATTTCCCACACTACTTCGCTTTGCTGCTTATGCAAAATCAATAAAGAGCATGCGGAAAATGGGGAAAAAGCAGAGTGCAGGGAAAATATTTACGCATGTCAAAGGGGTTATAACACCTAACCGGTGTATGTCTGTCTGTCCTCCGGCGAAATCGAATCCAACTGAAGACAAAAGGGCCAAGGTACAAAGTGATGGGATGTGATGGGACGTGATGGCTCCATTTCGTGAAAAGAGTTTGGGACCATCAGAAATCAATTTCCTGTGGCGCCAAAAGGGAAAGCGTCAAACTTTTCCCAAAAAGTTAAAGCCAAGATGAGGGCAAAGTTCTTTCCTCCTTTCGCTGGCAACTTTTACCTGTCGCTTTTGCAATAAAAACATTGCCATCTGCTGCCACAATCAGTCAAACAATCAATAGTTTGATTAGGTTTCTCTCTGCCACATGTTGACTTTAAGCGAAAAATTAGCCCTAAGCCTCCCACCGAAAACAAACTTTTCCGCCAACCCCTGCCATCCCTGCCACAACAAATAAATAAAGAAAACAAAAATAAAAATGAAACTTTGAACTGTTGCCGGTTATCTGCGTGAGAGGGGGCATAGAAAACTTTTAGATACAAAGAAACAAAAAATAAATATATTTAGAGATAGAAGGGGCACATACTCGTACATACATATGCTTACTGCCCGTGGCACTCAAGTTGACATTTATACGAGCATGCAACAAGAAAAACAACTCAAAGTCAAAATGGCCAAAATATGCACATAAATTTCATTTCCAAATAAAAACAACAACAACAAGAAGACTAAGTCGTAGGGGAATGGGGAACGGGGAACAGGGAATAGGGAAACTGGAAAATGAAAATGGCACCGGAAAAGTTGCAAATGTGCAAAGATAAGCGCATGCAGCAAAACAACATCAACTGGCATACTGAGATGTAATGAAATTAAACAAATTGCCTGGCTTTGCCCTGGTTACCTGCCTTTTGAATCATTGTCAGCGAGTGGCAAAGTTTTTCCCCCTCATCTCCTGACAAATCCCACGACATACAAATGAGTTGTCTTGCGGGGCCTGGCGGGGCGGTGCTAAAAAAGGGAATTACAAAAAATACGGAAAATAGGGAAAATGTGGAAGCTGCTGCCGCTGCTGCTGCTGATGCTGCACAGCAAACGACAATTCATGTAAATTGCTTAATTTATTAGACTTTTTCAAGGAAAAGCAGGCTACCCCGCCCGAAAGCTTCCTGACTTTGACAGCGTCGCGACTTTGGCTTAAGTATTAGCAATGGTTGTTGCTGCCGGCTTTTCTATTTGCGCTCTGCTACAATTTCCTGACGGTCTTTTGTCTCGGTGGAAAAAAGTTTCACAGCGTTTTGCCCATGTTTTCCTTCTTATTTTCTTTGGATCCGTTCGGTTCGGCTTGGTGTTTTCTGTGTTCTGCGAATTTGTTATCTTAATTCATGTCATTTAAAACAGCGAAAGAAACGCTGGTAAAAAGTCTGCCACCATTTGTTTCTAAATAAAACTCATGGCAATTGAATTCACGTTGTTCGGCGTGGGACTGGGGGTCTGAAAACTTTTTTGTAATACGCGGACAGATTAAAAGTTTTTTTTTTTACCTTCCCTGACACATACATACGTATATAACGTATACGCTGCCTGTGCCGGGTTCTCGTTTCACGTTACGCATACGCCTCGTTGGCTGAGCGAAGAACATGCGAAGCGAGGCGTATTCAAGCCGTGTCAGCTTAATGGCAGCATTCATACAAATCACAGTTGCCCGCCCGCCGCTTCCGGGCTGCCATTGCACTTTTCAGTGTGCTGCTTTCTTGTTTTCCATGTTCTTAGTTTTTTTTTTTTTTGGCAGGGGGGGAGTGGGTGCTGGTTGCAGCATGAATTTATACGTCAGAAATTCAAGAAAATGCACAGGAAAAGAGGCGGAAAACAGCGCGCCAGCATAAAGTGCAAGAAAAGCGCGCCGCACTCACGAACACTTGGAAGTAAGGAGAACACATGGCATTACTAAAAGAAACTAGGTTACAAGTTGCAACGTGAAACCTAGACGTGATGTCTGAATTTTGTGTGTTTTTTTAAAGAGTTTCTTTTTAAATTTTCAAGCGAAATATGGCTAAAACATACCCAGTTGTATGGAAAATCCTTTAAAATGTTCTTGGAAAACACAATGTAAAGGGTTTTTGGCATCGTATGCCCGAGTTCGAAGATCACTCGCTTTTCACATAATACGCGACGTCACTCGGTTTTTCTTTCGTCACATTTGCCGGCTTGGCCAGAACTGCTTCGCTTTGTTGGCTATTTTCAACTGGCAAACGATTTCTTGGCTCCCGACTTGGCTCTTGGCTGGGATTTTTCGGAATTCGCCGCACCAGCTTCGTGGGAAAAACCGAACTTGCACGCCTTGAAAAGAGAGCAGAGTTGTTGGGGATTTTTCCCTGACTTTCTCTTTGGTATTCTACAGTATAACAGTTTTTCCTGCTCTAGTTTTTCGTTGTGCCATCTGTGTGTGTGTGTGTGTGAAATTGTGTCATTAGGTGCATTTGTTTTCGTTGTCCTGACCATCTAGCAGCACCAACACCCAGCCACCCACTCAGCATCCCTACTGCCGCACTCAACCCTTGAGCGTCGGCTGTTGTTGCTGTTTATTTGCTTCATCTTCATGCCGTGTCACTTTTCGAGTGCGAGTGTGTGTCAACCTGGCGCCGCTCATCTAACTAAATGCCAACAATTATGTTTTGGAGTCTCATTAGTTGCAACTTAAAGTGTTCTAATGTGTTGCCGTGTGTGAAGAACGATGCCGTTAATGATGTAAGCGGCAGCTGTGAGCTGGATACAGAAAGCTGAAATCTGGATACTAAAAAGCTGAAAACCGAGCGCCAAAAGCTGAGTGAGCCCGGGTGCCAAGAGCCAACAGATGCCAGCGGAATCAGCTCAAGAGGGCTCTATATGCCCACATATATATATATATATATATATTTATATATATTTTGGGGTCGAGTTCGTGCCACGCGGCGTTTTGTTAATTGGTATTACCTGACCCACATGCTGAAAAATGTATTGGAAGCTCGTCAATATTACTTGCGGGAAAAGGTGAGTTTAAAGAGAGTTTTTGGAGTTTCATTTAAGCAATTTTAATTAATAAATAATTAAAGGTCAGAAAGGAGTTTCGGATATATAGAAAACTAATAATAAATATGAAGACTTTAAATGAAAAATCTTCTTTTATAAGTTTACATTTTCTAGGGCCACATTTTTATGGGCTAATCTAGTTTTCATCATTACTTTGTCACGATGAAATTGATCGGTACTATTAAAGCTTCAGATATATTGCTGTTTTCCACAACAGTTCGAGTATAGAAATTAGAATTTTCTCCTGTGCCTGTGCCTGTGCCTCTTTGACCCCGAAATGGACCAGATGACAATGCCAGGGCAGTGAGTGAAAAACAAAGCGAGCGACACAATATGGCACAACTAATCACGCTGACGTTGACAGAAAATGCACTAAACAAAGAGCCAAATAAACCGACGCCCAGCCACACCAAACGCCATATGGTATATGCCACAGGAGGGGGTCAGGCCATAAAAATCGCATGCGAGCAAGGGCTGGTTTAATGAATGCCCGGATCTAAGGGAACCGGGGGTCCGAGTAAAACGGAACCAGCGCACACAGGTTACCAGGTTGGGTTCAGGTTGCTGTCGGAGCCAACTAATTTAAGCTGCGCCTTGTTATAATTACGCCGAGGAGCAACAAAGCTGTTGGCAAATGATGCGCACGTGACATCCGGCACGGTTCTGCCGCTGTCCGTCCGAAAGTCCATCCAGCAAGTCAAAAGGCGGAGGGAGAAAAGCCAGAGAAGGCCATGGAGCCAGGAAAATCAGCCATCAGCCAACAGTGAAAGCCACAGCGTCAAAAAAAAAGTTAGTACGTAGAGTTAGTTAAGGGTTAAGACCTAAATATACCTGGTAATTAGCAAAGTGATATGTGTTTATAAGCCTGCGTAATTTTAATGGCAAATACAGGCCTGATAGAATTTATATTTTCATAGTTAATTAAGCTTAAAAAGGTTTTAGAACTGAGACAGGAAATATGTTTAATAATTGATGAATAAACAACACTCGTAATTGTTAGATAAAATTTAAAATAAATATTTGGATAATTTCTATGCTGGGAGTTCACATTCGCATGAATATAATATTTCCTTGAACCCTAAAAAAATAATGGGTATGAAAACAAAGGGCAGGCCAACGAAGTCACACGCTCCAAAAGCAAACAGAGCAAAATGCAGTCTTTGCGGGTGTAAAATAACCAAGCCCCTGAAACCTTTCCCCCCTCTCTGCCAGCTTAGTTTTTAGAAAATTATGAGTGGGTGGCAAATGGGGGGCCTTTGCATTTTTTATACAATTTTCTGGGATTACTTGCACTCGGCGGCGGCGGCAGCAAGCAAAAAGCAAAAAAAAAATATATATAAAAAAGGGAAAGGCGGCGAAGGGACTCAAGAAAATTAGTCGCGCTTTTCGCTCGCGTCGGAAAGGAATAAAAAGTGCAGCCAAGGAGGGAAGTGTAAATTTACTTCCGCTGCAAAATTGTGGGCGTGCTGCTTGTCCGCTGACAGCTGACTAGGGGGTGGCCGGTGGGCGTGGTCGTTGGATGATGGTGGACAGGGCGAAGAAAAAAATGCAACTTTTTCTAATTAAGCGTACGTGCGACTGTCAACGGCTTCAGCTGCTGAGGCAGCGTGCTCTTTACTTGTATAACTTATTGTCGTTGACAATAGTTTTAATTGAAAAGCGCCGAGCTCCCCGGTTCAGTACGTGTACGGGTGGGGATAAGGGGTATGGGTGTGGGTATGGGTATGGCTATGGTATATGCGGAACAGGGGCGAAAAACCAACTCCTAAGCTCACCTCTGACAATTCAATCAACGCTACAAATGCTGACTCGTTTATTTTTCAAGATGCCCCGCAGCAAAGCTGAAAAGGCACTGAGAGAAAAGGTTAAGGGTAATCGGGATATCATAAAATATTAAATCCTATTCATCGATGATGTTCCCAGGGATCTAGGGAAACAAATTCAACTTTATCAACTCTTCAACTAACTACAATAGTTACTACAACACAGTAATTAAAGTAATACAAGTAGGAGTTTCCTCAACACTCATATTTTTCTCTAAGTGATCAGCTGTTGAGTGAGGACAGCTTAACCGGCATTTGTCTTTGTAAGAGCGTCTTGCTCCAGGGGCCAAGAACGCTTGTCTTGGCCGCCACTTAGCTGCTGACCAACTGCAACTTCGGGCCAAGAGTTGCGCGCGGCATGGTCCTAATTGAAGTTCTCATTGATGTTGTTGTTCTGCCAGTGGGTGTAACTGAAGGCGTGGTGGTGGGTGGTGGGTTGCGGGTGGCTGCCTGGGATGGCATAACTCAGGCCGCATGCTAAATCAAGAAGCGTCTCAGCTCGGAATCCATTTCCCATAGTCATGCACTGGCAGCGAACATTTATCAAGATGATGGCACATGCACACAGTTTACCTGTGCGCCATAAATAAGTAAGGCATCTCGTCCGCGCCTCGTCCTTCTGATCCTTCGAGAACGATGCAATCAGCGCCAGGATTCCCTCTTCTGCCACGCCTCTTGCCATCACCTACCATATGCCCGCCTTTTAGGGCCCACTGTCTACCAAGACGGCGGCTGCAAGTTTCTTAATTTTCGTTTGCCGTGAATTTGCTCACACATTCGCCGAGTTTTGCGCCTACGCTAGGCTACTTTTTATCCTTCCCCTTGGAAATACTATACACGTTGGAAAAAGGGAGTACTTATCAGTAAATTTAGTAAGAATTTGATTATATTTTAGTACTCTTAACTTACCAGTACTTTAGTTTTATGATTCATTGATTGCCTATGTAGTTTAGAATTGTTAATCTTTGTTTGTTATTCGCGCATTATGAAATGAAAACTTGATTATGCTTAAAATCAACAAAACAGCCTTTTAATTTTTTATATTTAAGAGTTTATTTAGGCTAAGGTCCCCTAATGGTTTTATCCGTGTTTACTTTTGGTTGGAAGAAAACCACTGATTTCGATACTTTTGCCAGTGCACTCCTGTGAATATTGTTGTGCAGCTTGGCGTAGCAGAAAATCGCTTAAGACGCTCTGCTGTGTGCAAAAGTTTACCCCTTTTCCGAGGGGCAGGGGAGAGTGTAAAGTCCAACCCCCCCACCGCCCGAATAACCGTAACTCCCACCTGGGTAAGTTTTACAACTGTGACTGCCTCAGTCATCAGTTTTGAAGTTGAAGTTTTGCCGGGTTTGCATCTCGCTTTTCCGTATCTCCCTGGCTGCCTTTCGGTATCTTTCCGGCTCAACTTCATCGACATCGTTTACTTTTCGTTCGTTTCGTTTTGCAATCTGTAATTACGAGCAGCAGCAGCCGCTTTTGATGCTTTTTCGGTTTAACTTTCAACAGCTGCCAAGAAGGATTCTCCGTGCCCATCTCCTCATCCATATCCTGGAAACACTCAATACCCCGTCTCCCCTTTCGCCACACTTGAAATATAATCGACATTGTCGATTGGTGCGTGTGTTTTTTTTTGTGTGTGGTTTTTGCTTGGAAAAGTTTTGGCTGTTAGTTTTGTTTTGGTTGGCATTTCTAATGCCTTGGAAAGAAGAGGAGTTTTTTGATTGCGCCCCAAAAAGGATTGCATATTTTATGATGATGATGTGCTGTCTCTGTTTGGCCTGATATTAGAATGTTTTTGTTTGGCGCAGAAAGTGCGTTTCATCGTCATCAATTGGCTGGCTCATTAAGCTGCATTTGATATGCATACGAAATTTCCGCCAAGGATCTTTCAAGAATCCTTTGACTGACGCTAATTAGAAAAGTTCACCCAATCACGGGTAACACTTCCGCTTTTACCCCCCTTTCTTTCTTTTTTTTTTGTAAACTTTGTTTTTGCCCGCCATTAACGCAACATTGACGCTAATAGAGTCGGCGACTTTATCGAGGACTTTGGCAATAAGAGTTTGCCAACAAGTTTAAAATTGTCTGCATGCCTTTCGATGGCTCACAAAAAAAAGGGTAAAAAATCAAGGCGCAAATGACGGTTCACTTAATTTGCATTTAATTACAAAGTTCTACAAAGACCTGAACTGGAAAAAATCACTCCCTCATAGCCATGCAAATACTGGTACGCATATCCGCAGATACTCGGCAGCCGAAAAATATAAATAAGCGAGCAAATACTTATACAAAAATATCATTTATTTGGTTTAGATGTTTGTGTTTTT